AGGGGGGTGTTACCTACCATCTGTTCTGCATACTCCACATGGAAAGGTTCTTTCTTCTTTTGCTTTTGTGTTATGTGCTGTGAATTCTGGAGTACAGGTGCAGGTGGTTGGAGGGTGTCGCTGATAGGTTCTACTTCTTAACTTCCCTCCTCTGGTTTTTGTCTGTCTTACTTTGCCCCAGCACTTAATGACTGTAATTGTATTGACGTGCTTCACTGTATTTATTTACGCAGACAAAGCTTGAGTACTACTTGTTTTTAAATACATATTTATGTAAGTACCATTTATAGTCCCTGCCCCCCAAAATTTCCCCCAAAATTGTGTAGAACTTAACACAAGACCTGGTGCTTCTCGCTGTTACTAAATCAGTTTCATTTATTGGCTGATGCTGACACTCAAACTTTTGCCTGATGTAACATTATTTGTATTACTATTATACTGTTACCTGTGTTGAAGGTGGGGGGGGGGGGTGCGTTGATGTTATCCTTTAGTAGTTATTTCTTGCTTTGGTTTGATCTAGTTGCGAGATGGTTACATTCCCAGTCCAAAGTCTTGTGGCATAGAATTCGTTTTTAGAAGTTGGATAATGGACGCAATTGAAAAACTTAAAAAGTTTTTAAATCAGTTCATTTGAACTTTCAAGCTTTATTTACAAAACTGAGTTTTTGTATGTTTCATTCTGTGTTGTTTTTCAATGTTTTCTTTTTTCTCGTTCATCGGAACTAATCCTTGGATTCCAAAACTCAGAAAGGGGTTTACGAAGTGTAAGCTTTTGGTCATTTTTCCCTCTTTTTTTTCTGTACCAGCATTTCAATGTTTAAATGGTTTATATGTGTTTTTTCAGTGGGTGGTTGGCGTACACCAGTAGTAGTAGGTCTTACAACTGTCCTTTGATTTTATGGTTTCTATTTGTCTGTCATGCTTTTTTTCCCCCGCACAAAATGAAGTTAATTATGGTATAAATTACATTGATTTACATGTATATTCTGATGTATGTTTTGACTTAAACAAACAAAATGTGTTTCTTCTTGCAGATCTCCAGACATGATCAACGTCTCCCCTCGTGATTCCTTCTAACAACCGCCTGCCTTCTCAGTTGCTGACTGCATGTGTCCAGAGAGCTAGAAATCCGTCAGAATCTTTGACTTTGTATACTTAGGCCCGTCAGACGTTGCCTAAGTTTTCTGTGACAAAAAGATATTGCATTTTTAGATCTATGGAGGATGGTTTTGGTACCTTTTGTAAATGAAGTATTTTTTTTCCTGGTACAGTATGCAGACTTTTTTTACTTTGCAAAATGCTCTGTTGTAGGCCTCTCAAATTCTTTTGCATTGGAATACTGATCACTGATAGTCAAAATATGGTAATTATTTTATGTTTTTACTGAGTTTGTAAATGATTTTCAGTTACTCAGTTTTGCATGATCAGGTTAGGCAGAACATCAGACTGGTCAGTGATGCACTTGAATGTGAGCTCTGGTCTCTTGTGGAGAAGAATTAACACCAGTTAGCAGTGGCCTTGATCAAAGTGAAAGACATGTACTGTCTAACTCAACTTCCTGTGAGAAAAGAAATTTTGAATCAAATTTTTTCGGAGCCACATAGATTGTGTTATTTCGGAGGAACTTATATGACTTTATTGTGTTGCAAGTGCTGTTAAACACTTACTAAAACTAAAGAGGCCAAAATAGGCCTTCCAACTTTTCGGTTTACAAACTGCTGTCTTGAGGCCTATTTTCTCTCTTGAAAAGTTCAAATCAATTGTTGCCAAACTGACATCAGTTCTGAAGAATGTGTCCAAAATGGTTGTCGTTATTCTCTTTCAACATAATTTGGTAGTGCTTACAACCCATGGAGTCATATTAACACAGAGCTGTGAATAAAGAAACACATAGACAGGATAAGAGTCATTTTATGGAAAGTAAAAAGAATTTTTAATTAACAGAGAAAACAAAAATGTAGGATCTATCAGTGACGCCCTCACACCCTGTGCATAGAACTGGAAGAAGACGCGGGGAACCTCTGAACTGGATTAGGGTTCTTGTCCTGAAAGGTCGATGGACGCTATGACGTCTTAAAGTTCTGAATGGCAGACCCATAAGTCATAATGGGCAAGGGGAATATTGAAAGTATTATTGCCAGGATAAGATATCTTAGATGAGAATGCTCTGTGGTCCCTGACACAGTCTCTCTCTTCACTGGAAGTATGATAGGGTGAGATAATATAACAGTTTATTGAGCTCCACAAAAACAAATTTGCTGCAGCACTGTAGATCATGCAAACACCCTTGTCAACTCTCTCTCTCTCTCTCTCTCACACACACACACACACACACACACACCCACAGAAGCACACACAAATAGTCACTAGATGAACATGCAAAAGGAGAGTACAGACAGAAGGCTTGAGACCTAGAAGTTGATAGTGAACCATTCCATAGCAAATGTATCAAAGTGTATGTTTGCATTTATGTAATCAATTTGTTTAAATTTGCCCTTCTTTTAGTACTCTCACTTTGCTATTATAAACGACAGTCTTGAACAAAACTGGTTATGTGTGCTTTAATATTTGATTTTAGTCTTTCCACGATTTACATACTTCGAGCACGTTGTATTGTTGTCAGAGTCCTTTTTATTCTTCTAATCGAGAGATTTTCAAATGATTGGAATAGTGTTGTCTGGAGAAGTATTTCTGTACAAATGGCAACTTATTTGGAATTTCTGATGTATTAGTTTTCTTTCTTTTGTATAAATAAATGCCCATGTTTTTGTTTTTTAAGCTTTTCGTCCCAAGGTTTCCAACAATGTTTCTCTCTCTCTCTCTCCGTGTGCTCACCGAAGCTAACGTGCTGGCTCAGGTTTCATGACACTGTCAAACTGTACTGCTGCCGTATTCATGAAAGTGACAGCTCATTCATGGATAAATTTCATCATCTACATTTTCTATGATTATCTTCGTAAAGTTTACGGTGAAGGCTTTGATGAATGTGTGAAATTTTCTCAAAACAAAGGCAAATGCTCTATAATTATAATGTATATGACGTGTTTTGTGGGCGATAATCTTCTTCTTGTCACATGTGGCTGTGCAATACATTGTACTTTTTTTTCCACATTAACTTCTTTGCATAAGTAATTTTGCAGTTAGTTTTATTTATGCGAGGGGGGGGGGGGGGATTTGAACTCTGCATGAGTTAGCTTACTCTTGTCTTGATCGGCTCTTTCAACGTAGAATGTTATACTCTGACGTCATATAAGTAGAGTTGTCGGACTTCAGTGGGCAAGGGGGATGAGTAGGAGCAATAGAGGAAGAAAATGCTTGAGCTTCAGCTTTTTTTTTTTTTTTTTATTGATTTGGGGGGGGGGGGGGGGGGGGGGCTAGAAAATGTTGCGAAGTAAGCAAGATGAGGGACTCATAGTCGTTAATTTATTGTCTTTTCTGTTGTACAAACATCGAAAGGTTCAGAAGACATTTGATATATTTATATATATGCCCATTGTTTGGTCCCTCAATGTGCGGAATGGACAAGGAAGGTAACAAATGTCATTCGCGAGTAATATCTGAATTTTGAATAAATTTTTTATAGAAAATGAATAAGGTAGCGTGAATTTCATGGCAAGATCTGTTTTATGGTTAGATAACTTTGCCTGTTGGGAGTATAGTATTCAGTGATTTGCTCAATTGTTTGACGCAAAACGCATGAAAAAAAAAAAAATCACTTTACCTATATTTTGTGTTTCTCTCAAATTATCGTTTGATACAGAAGCTGGCATTTTTAAAAATTATCTGGGACTATTTATTCAGTTTTTTCTTTTTCTGACCTGATCCATTATTGGAATGAGCGAATATATATATATATATTGCATTATGCTGTTGTCTGACTGGTACTAACTGAGGGAATGTGGTCAGAGACCATCAACATGAATGCAATAATAAATTGTGCTTGAAAGACAGAGGCAGGTAGCACAAGCCAGTGTGTGAAAGAGGTGTAAAGTAAATGTGTGGCGTAGTCTTGTGTGTCACTAAGTCAATGATCTTTGTGATTTGTATGCTTGGAAACTGACTGAGAGAATAAGGTCGCATTATCTTGCAGTGTCGGATTTATCATTATGTCGCTAGTGTAAGAAAAATTTGGAAATCTTTTTGAGCTTGGGCTCTGCTGTGCAAGATGAGTGAAAAACATTGGAGTTTCACTTTTTTCTTACGATATCGACTATTAATCGGTAAATAAACGTATTCAGACGACAGGCAATAATAATAATAATCTGATTTTTGTTTTATGTTTATGTGCATGTTCTCTTTTTGTAGCGGATTCATGCCCTTTTCTTATCTTAATGTGATTGGCTTTGATGTCACGTCAAGTATACCCACATTTCTTAGCACTTGGCGAAATATTATTTTGTGGAGAAGTTTTTGGACTTTAAAATAGATGACTTTCGTTGTTTTAAAGTTTGTTTTTGCTTCTTGTTAGGCGGGTAAATTTGTTTTAAAATATAAGATACAAGTTGTGTATAAGGGAACTGTACCATACATTATGTATTGTTTTAAAGTGTGGATCTCAAGACTTCTGCTTTATTGATGTGAAGCTCACTTTGAGACTGTGAATAGATGAAAAGTGGAAGATGGTCGGGTAAATTTTTGTGGTTAGTGTGTCATTCTCTGTATTGTGTATAGTGTGCTGATTGTTAAATATTTATTGATGCACGACCTAAATAAGTCTTTGTTGATTATTTTTGTCTTTAATCTGTGATCTGTTGTACAAGTACAACTATGAAGGGCTTTATAGCAACACTTTGTATCCAAAGAATGAAAAACTGATAAATCAATGTTAATCCCATTCACCTTCAGTGAGCTGATTCAGATAAAAATAAAACTGAATCGTAGCTGTAAAAAATTACTAGATGTAGTTACAATAAGTTTTCTGACAAAATACTTTACTTTTATGCAGTCAAGATGAAAGTTACTGCTCAAAATTCTTACAGCTAAAAAAGACATCAGTTCAAGTATTGAAGACTCCATTATTGCTTTTTGTATAAACCCTTCATATTATTTTCTGGAAAGAAAGTGAATGATGTGCATGATTTTGTTGGTGTGTGGTACTGATAAAAGTTAAAGAGTGAATGAAAGAAATTTCTCTCTACTTATGTTGAAAAAATGCATTTCCTCTTGTTTTAATGTTAATCAGTGATAATAATTTGAAATGTTTTGTCTCTGAACAGGCTGATTTAAATGTTTTATAGGTCCACATAGCAATGGATTTTTCTTTCGATCTTAATGTGATATGGGGAAGAAACATCTGTTTTAACATAAATAGGTTTCTTACTCTTCGTGTAATTTAAGGAAAGTTGACCCTATATTTGATTTCAGCTGAATGTTTTTTTTTCCCTTAAAGCGGAAATGGTATGCCGCATAAATTTAATTTAAAGCAGACAATGTTTTCTTGTTTCGTGAACTGGAGACAAGCTTGATGAACACCACAGCGATATAATACATTTTGATTTTATGGCGTTTGACTAAAAGTTTGTTTGTAAAAGTAAATCAACCAACACTACTGTACTGTGAGTGTGAGAAGCCGAAGTAGACCCATCTAAGGACTCATGCCATGATCTTATTTAATTTAAAGGTCATTGTATATTCCTCTTGCAGCAGTCCCCAACATTTTCTCTTTACTGGTAGCACAGAAAGATTTAGAACGTCGGCTCACAAATGTTTGGTGTACCAGTGGAGAAATGTGGACCTTTGTGATTTTTTCATCCTTGTAACTACATGTACTTTTGTGTCTTGGTTGTTTTGTTACATTTTCATTTCTGAATCAATAAAGTATAATTGTTATTTCAATATGTGGACACATTTTGTGTTTGCTTGAAAATCAAATTTTGAGTTTATATTGTGATTGTGTTGCTGAGAAAGTAAAAATGATTTAAGGTATTTTATGTGTACCAGAGTCACCGTCAACAGACCAATTTGTGAAGTCATGATCTTCTTCATAAACGAAGGACAAACAACAGTGAAATATGAGATAGATGACAAATTTCGAAGATGTTCAGCTTCTGGAATAAGAAATATAAATGGACATACTGCGAAGTATAGCGAACCCATATCTCTTGTGTTGCCCAGATAGATCTCGGGGGTTCTTCAGCCTGCAGTGCAACTGGTTATTACAAATCGGGACGGCTTTTCCCAATTCATAGAGCCTCTTGACTTCAAGTTTTAACTTACGGCAGCCACATTCCATTTTGGAAAGGCACTGTCCAGAGCATTTTCAGTTTTGGTAGGAATTAATGTTTAATTTTTCCAGAGAGGCAGCCAAAGCCTATACTGTATTGATTTTAAGATTGCCAAAAGATCTTTATCATGCACAACTTGCACAATGGACCTCCGAAAATGTTTGCCCTTATCCAAGAAAGCTATGTGTTTGACCTTTTTTTTTTTTTTCTTAAGAGTTTTATGGCACTTGCAAAACAATGAGGTCATATAAGTGCCGAAGATTACAGGTGTTACAAGAGAGTAACAAACGCAAAAAAGGAGAGATCAGGACAATAGATGTTTGATAGGAAAGAAGGAGCGAACCACACCAGAGCATCCACCAACCACCCACGATTGACCTTAAGATCAGGGGGTTTGCTGAAAGACAGCAGGAAGGAGCTAGGAGTAGCAGTAGAAAGATTAAGGTGTAAGAGAGATAGAGGGGATAGGAATGACTGTCCCCGTGGTTTTATGCAAGAAAAATTCTGAAATTATGCAAACTGAGCCCAAAATGTGAAATTATGCGATTCTGTTAATTTTAACAAAGAATGATAAAGGAAAATAATCAGAAATTATGCAAAAAATGATCAAATTTTACTATATTATGTGGGGTGCTTAAAACGACGGGGACAGGAATGAAGAGGAAAGCAGATTACGGAACAGGACTAGAAAACAGGAAAGAAGGACAGAGTACTGTTTGAGATGGCTGACACGAGAAGGTATACAAGTGGTGTCTTAAGTTTTTTTTAAGTGATTTACGGCACTTGCAGCACAATAAGGTCATATAAGTGCCAAGAGATTAGAGGTGTTACAAGAGAGAAACAAACACAAAAATGAAGGAGAGATAAGGACGATAAGTGTTTGATAGGAAAGAATAATGAGCAGACCACACCAGAGCACCCACCAAGTGGTGTCTGGTATACAAGAAAGAATTTGTCATAGTAAGCACTTTACGACACTTGCAACACAAATATGTCATGTATGTGCCAAAGACTAGAGGTGTTACAAGAGAGTAACGTAACAAACAAAAAAGTTGGAGAGATAAGGATGATAATATTGATAGATGTTCAGTAAGAAAGAAGGAGCAAACCACACCAGAGCACCCACCATTGAATAATAATAGTAGATAGCATTTGAGTACATGTAATGCAAATTCCCACTCAACAGCATGCTCTGTGTTTCACTATCTATATTATTACCCCAGCAGACATGTCTGATAGCATTCTGAAACAAATCTCAACTTCCTAGGAAACATACGGTGAAAACTGATGTGCACTAAAACACTAACATACTGACAACTTATACTTATACAGTCAATGGCCGGGTACATGTACCCATTCCCACCAGAGTGAAGGGAGGAAAATTCATGTAAGGTGCTTTTCCCCAACGACACAATATTGGGCCAGGTTTCAAACCTCAAAACCCGCAACCTCATGATTACGAGCCTAGTAGCCTAATCATTAGATTACTGGCACAAAGCGCCATTAAGAAAAGGAAGAGCTTGGTTTTGTTCGAGGCCGACTGAGTAAAGCGAAGCACATCGACATATTAACCCTGTCCCTATCCGTACATCGTGTTTTACTATGTATCCATACGAAGTGGGGAACTCTGTGCCACCACTTTCCAAAGAGGAAATTTACTCGTTAATCCGATCCGTACGCTTTGTATAGCAGTCTGTCAAAATGATTTTTTGAGAAATACTGAAAGTTTCAAAGAGATCTTCACACTAGAAGTATTCTAAAATGTGAAGAATGTAACCCCTGGGGTACAAAATGACCCCAGGCGTACGGATAGGGTTAATGATCACCTAGTGCAGGGAAAAAGACCAGACATGCAGACAGAAACAACAATAAGGAAAGAAAAGAAATAGGACCTAACAGTTGTTGCCCTCCAACCACTTACAAAGTTCCTTGGATGCTACTTGTACAAAAAATAAAAGTAAGGGTTTTTCGAGAGAATGGAACAAGGTTTCATATATAATAGTATTACAAAACAAGGTACTCAAAACTTAAAAGTTTAACCCCACACGGCGGTGCTACTGACTGAAGTGTCTTCAGGCCATTCCCAAAGGGGGTACATTTCCATGTTCTGTTGCACAGTAAAATTGTAAATGGGCCGATTCATCGATGTCATGCTCATAACTGTGCCGGAATTGCAACAGGGAACTGCTGCTTTTTCTTTCCTCATCCTTACTATCGTCAATTTTTCTCTACTTCTTTTGTATGTTTGTCACTGTCTTGTGACCCGCTATTTCCGGCGTGCCTTGATAGTCGAAGCAGACTTTGTGCAGTTGAAGCTTGAGAGGTGAACAGAGTAAGCCCAATTCCCTGTAAAGACTTCTCTGTTGACATCCACCCCTTGGCGCTCATATGAACGCCGTAAAACCTCTACTAAAACTAAAAAAACAAAACTAGTTTGTGTATAAAAGTAAAAATTTATTTCTAGTCAGACATTTTAATTCTAATATTGGATACCACAACATTAAGTTTTTTAATAATACCAATTGTATTTGAGGAACATAGCTGAGATTTAGAGGCATGATAATATCTGTAGCTCTGAGTAGTAGAGATAAATTTTACAGATATAATACAGATAGTGAAGAAGACTAAGAGTAAGAGTAAATTTACATGAAAAAGTGCCGATTTAATTTTAGGAATGAAGACTTCATTTCTACACAAAGATCAGTAATGTTGAAATCTAAATCTGCCAAGATATTGTGGATGTTAACTAATAAATGTAAGGCAGCGCGGTGAAATCAGGCGCACGTCAAAATAATGAAATGGAATAAACTTGTACATTTCTGCCAGAGCAGCAATTTTTATCAAATTTTTATATTTTTGCTCAACACCATTGTTGTCCAATTAAGAACACATTTCTGGGTGGGTGTTACTGAAAAAAGTTGATTAAAGGCACAAAAAATGTAAGTTTTCAGTTCCAACAGCCTGTCAAGCTATGGAAATAACCAAACTTCGGCAGCCAATCCATTTTCTCGCTATTTCTACATTTGAAACTAGACGACCCCACCTTCTTCAATCTCAAATATCTTTACTTCTATTCAAGATAAATGGACATTTTTTTCACAGATAGCAAGATAACTGAGCAGGCTTTAGAATGACACCAAAAACTCCATGTGCCCAATAATTGACGAGCGCCTGATTCCACCACATCGTGACAAAAACACGTCAGGGATTGACAAATTTGTTCAACACATCCATAATTTGGGTAAACCGATAAATGACAATCAAACAGATATCAGTCAGTCGGGGGGGGAATGGCAATTTGTACGAGCTGTCCATGACTTCGAAGTTTCCATGTTTGGTATCATGTGTGCCTGAATGTGCTACGCTCTCAGAAGAGGAGGAGAAGAGACATCTTATAATGATAAAAAATTTAAGACCCCTGTACTAAATACTTTTTATAACACCAAAACTCGAAAAATGTCTATAATGGATGAACTCATTAAGGCAATTCTAAAATCAAAACATTAAAGAAAAATGAACAAAAAATACAAAGTAATTCAACAAGTTGGTATATACAACGCACTATAAGAATTATTCTGTACAAAAAGGCACAGGAAATGTTACTTGATTTTACATTGAAATTTAAAGATACTCCACAAATAAACTTACAAGATAATGTTACTCAAATAGCATTCAAAAGAAAACTGTTCAAAAGGCAGTAAGTCACACAATAGTAGTAGGTAAAAAAAAGGTGCATGAGCATGTAAAAATAATGCTGAATTTAAAAGTTAAGTAGGTCCCTTGTGGTCTTATATTCTGAGGGATGTAGAAAAAAAAATGCCATAAAACGGTGGAGTGTAAAGAAATTTTAAAAAATTGACCCAAAATTTGAGACATGTGGACAATATGCATAGCATCATTCTCTATTTCATAAAACACGGAATAACAAGAGAGATATTTGCTGCAAGACATATAAAATCATAAAACATATGTAGAAGTTTATACTTTTTCAAAGTAAGCGAACTTGCCCTCTAGAAAACTGCTGCCAAAGAAGTAAAAATTTTACAGTGGACTTGGTTAAAGATGAAGTCTAAACAGAGCCTTTTTTTATATTTCTAGACAAAGTGGAAAGTGGTGGGAAAATGACAAGACAAAATCGATCATTCCATTAGGGCTTTTTCTATGGCCTTTGGACATCATTTTAGCAAAGTCCACTGTAACTGAGGGCATTCTTTAGGAACAAATTGCTGCCGTAGAAAAAACAACATTATGTGTATATAAAGGGACCATTCACAAATGACGTCAGCTCAAGAAATTGGTTAAAGTTGTTAATAAATAATTTGACACTCCAGGTATTTCTTTGTTGTACTATTTAATCAACAATAGCTTTACGTTCTTATTTAAAATAAAGATCAAAGGTGTAAATACAAAATGCATCCTGTACAAGTTCTATCTAAATGTTGACGTCAACGGGGGGGTCGGAGGGGGGGGGGGGGTCCTGGGAAAGGTAACAGAAGATGATGTGGGGGGCATTTTTGGCAAAATTTTAGCTGACGTCATTTGCGAACGGTCCCTAAATGACTTCTCTAAAAATTATAAAGGAAGCCCTAAGACAGAAGCCTCAACTAATCTTCTGTCCTCCCTTTCGCCACTTCACTGACTGTTGAGCTTTGTGAACTGCCGAGGTCCGAACCCGCTTCCATCAGCGTTGACACATCTGGCTGCTGCGACAAAGTAGTTTCCTCGACCTCCTCCGGCTCCTCATCACGAAGAGGAGCTTTATCTTCAACAGGAGCCACATTTTTCTCTGTGGTCGTGTCGTCTTTGTCTTTATTCGCTGGCGTCTCAAGCCTGTCATCTGTGGTACCGTTGATGGAATCTTTTCCATGTGAGGTAGTAGATGTTTTGTCCTGAACAGCCAGACCTCCATCTGTAGCTTTGGCAGGAGAATTTGGCTCCTGTTTATGGGGAAAATAAAGTAGAGTCACATTGTTTGTTTTAGTAAGTGTTTTATGGAACTTGCAACACAATAAGGTCAAATAAGTGTCGAAGACTAGAGATGATGCAAGAGAGTAACAAACATGTAAAAAAAAAGGAGGTGAGATAAAGACTATAGCACCCTTCAACCACTCACTAGTAGTAAAGTCACAGTCTGAGACAATTCACTTTTCCCTCAGGAGTCAAATAGAAATCAGGTAACATCAAGACAGTTGGTGGGTGGTTGGTGGGTGGGAGCTCTGGTGTGGTTTGCTTCTTCTTTCCTGTCAAACGTCTATCGTCTTTATCTCCTCTCCTTCTTTTTTGTGTTTGTTACTCTCTTGTAACACCTCAAATCTTCGACACTTATTGTGTTGCAAATGCCGTAAAACTCTTACTAAAACCAAAAACAAGACAGCTGATATTTTCTAAGGTTTTTGTTTAGTTTTAGTAGAGGTTTTACAGCGCTCCCAACTGCATAAAAGGTCATATGAGCGCAAAGGGGTGGATATCAACAGAGAAGTCCTTACAGGGAATCAGACTTAATCTGCTCACCTCTCTAGCTTCAACAGCACAAAGTCTGCTTCGACTATCAGGGCACCCCGGAAATAGCAGGTCACAAGAATGTGACAAACATACAAAAGAAGTAAAGGAAATGACGATGGTAAGGAATAGGAAAGAAAAAGCAGCAATTCCCTGTTCTAGTTCAGGCACAGTTATGAGAATGACATTGTTAGATCAGCCCATTTACAATACTACTGTGCACTAGAATGAGAAATGCCCCCCCCCCCCTTTGGGAATGGCCTAAAGACATTTCAGTCAGTGGCACTGCCCCGCGGGGGGGGGGGGGGGGGGGGGGGGTTCTAAGGTTTGATCAAAAAGAAGTACATGGACTGGCGGACATGACAATGATCGTTCACTGCATGGAAAAAGCCTATGGCCTATCTGTGGCACCCTCCAACAATCCGCCACCACAGTTGAAACAAGATGATAAAAGTGCCATACTTAAAGGGTGGTTTGTTGATTTTTAAAGATCTATGTTTTACTTCTTTCAACTTTTGGTAGAAATGTTTAAAACTTGATATTTCTTGAGCACATTAGTTTTCTTTATATTGAAAAATTTAACATCCCCTTGGTTGAATTTTAAATTCGCTCAAAGTTTTGCTCAAAATTGTTGCAAAGATAACTAACTTATTGCCCTTTAAAAGGGTCCGCCCCTTTTGTTTAGACACCTTGTATTTTAACACTCCGAGGAGTGGGCAGGCGTGTCTCATACCGGCTCCTCATGGAGACAATTAGCAGGAAGACCCCGGGATGGACGCTGGAGAGGAGAGATTAGCAGCTAAGGACATGTGCCGCCTGCAAGGATACTCTGGATCCAAGCAATTCTAAGTATTTAACAATGATATTTCTATGGAAACCAAAGAGGGAGTTGCACTCACCGAGACAAACTGCCAGGAGGGAGGTGCCTGGTCATCACAGCGCTTGAGAGCAAACTTCCAGACACCGTGGCCCGAGAGACCGGTGGTGAACCAGCACTTCTCCACCGAGTACAGGCCTGCAGGGAGGAACAGGGGTACCGGTTAACTTTGACCTTTATTCATACAAACTGTAATGTATCAACAACAATGTCAGTCCATTGATACAATATACTGATAATAATATTGATAATAATAATATTGATAATAATAATAATAACAATAATATTGATGATTATAATAATTTATCTTCTCTAAAAAAAATTTCGACATCCTTTCCTGCTTTCTAACAATGTTCTATCGTCCGCTTTCGTCTCCACTTTCTGCCCCCCCTTCCTTTCTATTTTATGCGCAGATACCATCTTTTCTGAGTATCTGCACCAATGTTGTGTCGTTCGTGTTCCAAAAGAGTGACAGTTTTTGTAGGGCCGTTATTTTTATAGATTTTTTTTCATTCACACTTGTCAAATTTTTTACAATTTAGCATTGCCGACTTCAGCGTGTCTAACAAAATAACCAGACAAGTTACAATGTCCGTTCTTTTTTAAGTCTCAAGAGCAGAAATGCGTGCTTTGGGTGCATCAAGTGATAATTACCGTAAATACAAGGATACACCTAAAATGTTATGTTGAAAAGTATCAAAAATTTAAGTCAGCCCAGACAGAGCGGCCATAGGGAGCTGACCCCCCGTGACCCCAACGTAAGAAGGCGCTCGGCAGGGAACCTCCTACAGCAACTAAAATTCCACTGCTTGTGCGCCGCGAGTAGGGCTATGGCACATCACTTTTGGAGTGGCTCACGTAACGAGTCTCTCCACACCATCTCTTCTGCTGCCTGCCACACCTCACTCATCACTGGACTGGCCAATCACAACGCCGCACCGCTGACTGTCTGTTTGGAGCCCGCCTACAGCCCCCCATCCCCCAGCTAGAGCTTGCTCGATCTCTCCCGCTATATCCAAGTTCAGGCCTTTCCTTGTCATGTTAAACCCAAACACGGGTAATTATGTTTTCATCGGAAAAAAAAGGGGCACCGGTAAGGTCCCGCTGTAGGGATGGTCCGCTACTGTATACCGTAGTCATGTTCTACTGTATCGGTGTTGTTCCTCCAGTTTGACAATTCTTTTTTCTAATTTTTGCTGTTTGGCTCAACACCTTTAATGTCCATTAAAAAATATTTACATATTTCTGTGTGAGTTTTACTGAAAAACATTGACTAAAGGCACAACAAATGTAAAATTTCAGTCTCCAAGGACTCTCAAGCTTTGGAAATAACCAAACTTTGGGGGTCATTTTCTCAATAATTTTACCTCTGAAACCAGGCAATCCCAACCTCCTTCAATCGCAAATATGTCTGTCAACTTTTATTCACGAAAGGCATGTATTTTTTTTCATCAAAAGATGGTCAAATGAACAAGCTTTAAGATCATACCAATAACTCCAGATGCTCGAAAATTGACAAGCGCCTGATTCTACCGCGTCGTGACACATTTTTCCTAAAGTGTTATCCAACCCAAATGAAGATAACAGTAAAATTCAAAGTAAAATATGCCGACTTGCCATCATAGCGATAACCCTCCTCTGGGGCGAACGGACTGTCCAGCTTGTAGCCACGAATCACACGTACAGGGTTCTTGGTCTCTACGTTCCGACTGAGTGCAAGGTTTCCCCGCGTCAATGTCTGATCCTTGGACTGTGGGGCCGTTCTCAGGTTCTGAAAAAAGGGTAATTTTCAGTCAGTCATGCATCAGCCGGTCACTTTATCTAGGTATCTAGTTATGTGTGTGTGTGTGTGTGTGTGTGTGTGTGTGTGTGTGTGTGTGTGTGTGTGTGTGTGTGTGTGTGTGTGTGTATACATATATATATATATACATATCAAAAATACTTATCACTAGCTTTGTATTCTCAACAGCAGGGGTTTGTTTCACGTACTGAAAAATCGAAATAACGAGACATTTTCACTTTTGCTCAAGTCATAAGGTTGACTTTTGCTCTAGTGAGATACAAGTCGAGTACCATCTCACATACCTTGGGATTTGTCTTTGTGCCTTTGAGGTCTCGACCACCTGTAAAAAAATACAAACAAAAAGATAAAGATTAAATACAAGATCAGTATCGTCTTCACCAAAAGTAGATACATACTGTACCGTATTGTAATACATCACCTATAGGGCAGATGAACTTGAGAGCCACCCCCCCCCAAAAAAAAAATTTAGGTATAAATCATGATATGTTAATTGGACAAGATGTACAACTTTTCCATGCCATGTTAGTAAGTTTTTTTTTCATCAACATCCACACTTCAAAACAAATAAACCATTGGTTCTATTTCAATAATATACGATAAATACGAAAGTTAAACCCACCAATCATTATCAGGAGGTCAAAGAAGATAAGGAAAAAACATTAAGATGCAATGTTGAAACGCACAAACAAGAGAAAGTATCCTTTGTTTACAAACAAAAGGAAATACAATTTTTTAAAATATAAACCATTGCTAATCTCAAATGCAAACTTAAGTTAAAGATGAAAGAACTTACAGGTTGCTAAAAAGACAAAAGCATTATTTAGGCCATAACCTTTGTTTGCACTTTCCCCTTAAAGTGACTGTATTGCTGTTGAATTTTATCAAATAGCTTTTCCCACTTGCACATCTAAACAGCATTCACAAGGTCACAGACGTGTAGGCCTTCATAGGATGGTGTGGGATCAACACCTCTTTCAAGGCTTTAAGTTCATGCCACCCATTTGACTCAGTGGTCCCACATACCGGACAAGACCACTTACCAAAAACCCAAATGTTGCGTTTGTACAATATAACGTTATCAATTAGTAACTATCTCAGATCTATTGCTATGATCAGGACAATCAGTGCAAGACACAAACAGGCTCTCTAAGCTGTAACACATAATCTAAATATTTATATATACAGAATAAAAGAGAGGCTGATTTCTGTCTTTTGAGTTTTTGAAACATGACTGACCTTCTCCTGTGTATGTGAAACACTCTCCCAGGTCCACATCGTCTTCGTATCCTCCAGACAGAGCGATGGAGTAAGCTCCCCCTTCCCCTCCGTGAATGCCAGCAACTGTGGGTCTGTTCACAAGAAACAACAAAAATAAAAAAATCATATAAAAAGAATATGATATAATAACACCAATCCTTATGTAGCTCAGGAGTTAAGGGTTGCCAAAATAGGACTTATTCATATTATATTAGTAATGAGTCAGCGACATAGCACTAAAGAGTATTGGAACAGCATGGTGCATGTCTCTTCGGGTCGCAAAAGCAAGGATTGGGTTAATAAATGTGGAGTGCAGCTTAACCACTGAGCATGTTTTCTTCATTTCTGTAAACAAAATTTAGAACATAGGAGAGCTTGAAAAGAATTGACGCAGCAAAAAAAAAAAAAAAGATGCTCAATAAAATATATTTCAAACAAACAAGGGAATCAAATTTCATTGTGAGAAAGATGAAGAGCCTTACCATGACTTCTCGTACACTACAGAAAGTGGTGTAACAATTTTGCACAACAAATGTACAAAATAAAATACAACATACAAGAGTTAATAAGGGACATCTAGGAATTTCACCATTCTCTTTCCAAAAAAAAAAGAATAACAGACTAAAAATGTAAAAAATACAACTGACAACAGACACCACTGTGCCTTTGGTAACAGACCACAACATGTATATCATGATATGCAGATGTAAGAAAAAACTTTTAAAAGTAAAGCATAAGATTCTAAGGACCTCTTATTGTCTCTAAGCTCAAAGTTCCCATCTGATAATAAAGCAACCACAAATTGCCCTCCTCCCACCCACCTTTTTCATCATCCCAGAACAGTGCTCAAAATGTCTTAACAAACTATCTGCATTCTTCAAATTTATTCCGGAAAAACAGACAAACAAAAGGCAAAAAGGTCAACAAAGACAAGTCAGAACATGCAACAATCAACAATCTGTTCAGCAAGAGAATCTACAAAACAGATTAAGTCTATGAGTACATACCTATGCACTCCGTCTCGACAACACTCAATCCTGGTCCACCACACCGTACCCACGGACACATCTGAAACAAAATCATTAGTAGTTACATTTGTCAGCTCTATTACAAAAGCCATAAGGGGGGAAAAGGAAGGGGCTGGGTCAGGGAGGGGAGTGATGTGAGGTTTTGCTGTTAGAGTCTTTACTTTTAAAAATTCTTTTAATATTTTTCTTAAAATGTTAGATGGCCAAAGAAAATCAGGCAGACTGTGTACAGCTGATAACCAAGACCTTGCCAGTCAGGGTCAAACCTGGGTGTGTGGACACTATATCCCACCAGAAAGACGAAAAAGGAAAAGTTTCTTCTTCTCACAGAAAATGTTTCTATACCTCTGATTTCTTTCAACTGTAGTGATAGCATGACTCTCAACTCTATGTCAATTAGACATATCCATCCTAATTTTTCTTCTTTAATATAACCAAAAGTTAAAACAATAACAAAAGTAGTGAAAACTAAAACAGTTTTTGGTGATGCAATCGTGTGAGCAAACTTTATAAATGAGAAATATCCTATAAGGAATCAATCTCCGAGGAAAATTATAATGCATTTATAAGTATTTTGTTCAAACACAACACGATGAATAATCTGTTCTCATTTTTTTTATGTTCTTTCACTCAGACCAAGAATGCCTTCAAACTGATCTGTGTTTGTCTGAGAGGGATTTTACTCACATTAAACCACACCTATCAAAATTCTGTATATGAGCAGCTGTTATAAATAGAATAAAGAAGGGGATAATATACTAACCTGGCACAGCTCCATAGAAGTTTGGTCGGTTTGCTGGGACTCTCGGGGTATAGTTCTCTCTGTCGTCCTCGGGTTCATCTAAAGCAGAATCGTTAAGTCCATACTCAGCTACGTCCTGGCGAGAGGAAATAAAACTCCCAATATTGCACACAATTTAACAAAAAGTCACAAAACCATACATTTCTTCAGAGTTTCCAACATCAGTATCTGTAGACCTCTTACAACCAGCTATGTTGAAGGCTACAATATCATCCCTACACACTCACTAAAGGACAAAACAAAACACCCATGATGTGTGAGTACAAAAAAGAGAGATTTAGCTACTTTCGCAGCTGACAGTAAAATGGTATACAGTACAGCCAGCCTTCTGACATACTGTTAACTATATTATGACATGTCAAATATATAAACCATTTGTCAGAGAAGTACTGAGAGAATAGTCACAACCTGTGGAGAACATATATATATGTCAATTTTTAATTACCTTTCCCTGAATCCGAGCCGACTTCCTCCTACTTCCATAGATAGATCCCCCAACAAAATCTGTATTATCAACGGGCCGGCTTCGTTTCCTTTTGGCAGATTCTGGTTTTGCTGATGGTATCTTCCTCTGCCTTACAATGCTGGGCAAGGACTTGAACTGGGGATGGTTTGTTAATTCAAGTAAAGAACCAGAATAACAAGACACACAGTCTTAAACTTAGCACAAAAGAAAGATTTCTTCTGATCTGTGTCAAGTTATAAACACATGTTCAAACAAGTAAATATTTCATTCCAAACTGCAAGGAGGTTGATTATAGCACAGTGACACTACAATACAAAATACAGCCTCAGTTCTCCCTTATAATATCAAGCGTACACAGGAAGCTACAGCACTGTCAACGACTCAATAAATGGACCAGTGCATAACACCTGACCCACACTCATTTAATTTCTTTCTAAACCAAAACATGAAAATAGTTAAAAACCTATACTCAATAGAATTTCCAGATTTCATGACTTCTAACGTTAAACATGCCAAAACACGTTAAAATTAATACAATTTCCTCTGGATTGTGACCTGCAGTTGGGTTCTAATGCCACACACATGCCAGTATAATTTAGGCCGGCACTATTTCTCCGAACGTTCGGGAAAATAAAGCTGGGCACTATTTCTCCGAACGTTCGGGAAAATAAAGCTGGGCACTATTTCTCCGAACACTCTGAAATCACATCCTTTCTCGCAAATTTAGGATATTATATAGATCTATAATTATAGTATAAGCCTACCAAAGATTGTTCGTATACAATATGGTTTAAGCGGTCCAAAAAATGTCCGCAGTAAATATTTATATAAAGAAATGCTACAATTCCAAACAGTTTTTCGCTACAGATATGGCGTGTTGCCTATGAAGGGTGCTGCTCTTAAACGTAATGTGTTGTGTTCACTCGTGTGCTGTCTAGATCTAGATCTAGATCTACGGAGGGTTATTGATAACGACACATAGAACTGACATCTGCGTTTGTCACTGCTGCGACCAATGTACTGACACTGGCAAAGCCCCTTAATGTGTGTGATTCCATAATTTACATGTAATATCCTGTCCTTTTTTTTTTATTACGCACATTTAGGGTTAAAACAGCCCATCTTCTTCGGACAGGTGGACACACGCCCTTATTTGTTAATGTTTGTTGTTGTTTATGGGCTGTTCTAATTTTGATTTCTTTCTGTTGTGAAACCTTTCTTTTTCACGTTTTTACACTCATCTAAAAATCTCATCTAGACTAGCTCTTGAAAATTGAAATAGATATAGACCCAAAAATTTGCTCCTGTGTGTGTGTGTGTGTGTGTGTATGTATGTGCGTGTGTGAGTGTGTCTGTGTGTGGTAGTAAGTGGAGAGTGAGGAGTGTGTGTGTGTGTGTGTGTGTGTGGTGTGTGTGTGTGTGTGTGTGTGTGTGTGTGTGTGTGTGTGTGTGTGTGTGTGTGTGTGTGTGTGTTTTTCGGGCTTTATTTCAGCCTGTATTCAGTAACAGTTCAAAGTATACAAAAATAGAAACACAGGATCCATTCACTCCAGGGCTCATGAGTCGTTCGTCTCTTTCAGTTTCCCTCACTCATTCAATTCCCGTGTTCTCTCCCGCGGCTCATCCCTGTCCGCATGACTTTCTTCATACCCCACCCCCTCCCTCCAGGCACACACAAAGAAAATATCATTCTTTCCTTTGCACCCTGCGAACCATGGACAATAATATAGGCAAAACACTGCCTGAGCTGCATTCCTTTCTTTCGTGAGCTGTGGACCAGGCCAGGGGGTCGGTGTCGTCGTCTTGTCTTGTAGTTGCTGTCGCCTGTGGATACACTCGCACATTCTTCCTTTCACCCGCTCTTTCACTCACACTGTCTCTCCGTCCACAGCTCAGCTCGTCATACGTTCAAAAGTTGCCCACTGGTCATGTTTAGTTAGTGTGTGTACATGTGCATGATGGTGGTGGGTGTTACTGAAGGTTGTCTGTAGGCGGGCTTGCCATGCGGTGTTCCTTCCCAGACCAGAGGCCAGAGGCAGAATGAAAGTTGGCGCCAAACTCTAGCAAAAAATAAATAGACAAAAAATCACGAGACCGGAAGCCGGAAACCGTTCGGAGAAATAAAGATCAGCACTATTTCTCCGAACATTCGGAGAAATAGTCACTTCGTATAATTTATCTGCAACACACGCTAATGTTAAAAATGATGTATACTATAAATAATAAAAATAAGCCCTTAAGACTTTTTAAGCAGAATTAGATCACAATTCTCACTCACCGGGTCCAGCAGCCCAAAGGAAGCCAGCACTCGCTTGTTGTCTTCCAGGTTCTTTAACCTGATCGATTCGTAACTTGACATCTTCGCAGCAACACTTTGTGCCAGAGATAGACCTGACGGGAATTATAAAACATAATATAATTTATATCAATCAAGTAGGATGAGAGGAACATAAACACTGTGAGAACAACAAAAAGATTATAAAATGAGCTTTAAAAAATCGGGAAATGACAATATAAAAATAGTTAATTATAACTTTAACCAAAATTTTTTTTGCAGCCGTTGAAACAGAAAGTGAGTAAGTTCAATCCTGAATAATGTTTTTTTTTAGTCATGCACCCGTTTCTTCTCATGTACACGTTTATATAATATCTAGATCTAGAACTAGATCTAGATCTAGATCTAGATAGCTAGATCTAGATTCTAGATCTTATAGATCTATATAATTATATATATACTTTTTTTCTCTAGTGGTATTTTGCATGCTGAACACGAATATGGCCTTCATTTTTGCCGCAAATCAATAGTTATTGAGTTATAGATGTTTAAAAACAGAACTAGACATCTAGAATCTAGATCAAGGACCAGTGGGAAGTAATATTTGACTTACAAGTTTCTAACATGGGGCTCATGGGGGGTATCGGGGGGGGGGGGGGGGGGGGGGCAAGCACCCTGCAGATTCTAGATATTTAGATCTAGCTCTAGATGTAGTACAGGGGTATGGAGGCTACATACATAGATTTTTCTAGATCTAGATTAGAATCTAGAATTCTAGAATCTAGACTAGATCTAGATCTAGATCTACACATACAATGACAATGAGTAATGAGTCACAATGAGGCTACATGACTACAACTACAAGACAATGATGTCACTTGACAACTTACGGGCAACCTAGAGTAGGCTAGAGAATACACTTCGCACGAAGCCGCCGGGAGTAAAATTATGTTATTAGATCTAGATCTAGATCTAGTTGTCGAGGTTGAGAAGCGTGGAGTAGGCCTAGTCAGTGGCACTTCTGAAGCGTCAGTGTCAGTCAAGTTGTCAAGTGTCAAGCAGCGGAAGCAAGCAACAGGTTGACTTCCCGCCAAACTGATCAGCTGGCGAAATGTCATTCCAACTTTTACAACAGCTCTCGCGCCGTTTTCTGTCATTCTGCCGACTGCCGGTTGTATTTTCCTGTTTTGAGATTACATAGTACATAACATCATTACTTTTAATCTCCTTGGGGGGGGGGGGATGGGCCTTTAGGTAAGGCGAGGAATGGTGTGTATTGTGCCTTTTAGGAAATCTCTCATATTGGGGAAAGGGGGAGGGGGTAACTTATTGATAAACGTATTTTTAAAAATCTGCACCTTTGAACGTAGACCGCCGCGAGCGATCAGGCCTACCTAGTGAAGTGTGTTACATGTATTTTGCCACACAGTACGCTGTCGGCTGTGTGTGTGGAGACCGGTTGACCAAAAATAAAACGGAAAAAAAGAAAGAAAAATATTTTATAGAGGACCAGAAACTAATTGTAGAAGTCCTCAAGTAGAATCTACAGGTTTATTTATGACAAAACAGACCAGAAGCACAACGATAAAGTCGAATATATTATTGCAAACGTTTGGGCAGACATTCCCAAGAAAACAAACTGTAGCGGTAATTAGGCTACGCTACCAGTTTCCTTTAAAAAAAAAAAAAAAAAGAAGAAACAACTTATCAAAAACAATCCGTCAAATCGGAATAATGATGCTTATCTTACACAAAATTGTTACGACACAAAACGAATAAATTCTAAAGTTATGCTATAGGCCTTCGTTCTTACACTGGGACTGGTACGTGCGTGTGTGTGTGTGTGTGTGTGTGTGTGTGTGTGTGTGTGTGTGCATGTGTGCATGTGTGTGTGTGTGCGCGCGCTGTGTGTGTGTGTGCGCGCGCGCGCACTCGCCCGCGTTCGCTTGCATGCAAGCATACATGTGTGTGTGTGTGTGAGAGAGAGAGAGAGAGAGAGTGTGTGTGTGTGTGTGAGAGTGTGTGTGTGGGCGCGTGCGCAAGCATGTATGTGTGTGTGAGTGTGTGTGTGTGTGTGTTTGTGTGTGTGTGTATGTGCGTGTGTGTGAGTGTGTGTGAGTGTGTGAGCCCGAGTGCGTGTATGTGTGTAGTGTATGTGTGTATGAGTATGTGAGTGTGTTGTGTATGTATTTGTGTATATATGTGTGTATTGTATGTGTATGTGTTTGTGGAGCATGTGCATTGTGTGTATGAAGTGTATGTGTAATGCATATAATTATAATAATTATGTGTATGTGTATATCTATTATCTATTTGTGGTGGCCGAATTTTACTATTCAAAAGGCTTTTTAATGGCTGCATCGATCGACATGCGGTTTTCGCCAAAGATTCTTTATAGTATTCTCCAGATCGTGACGCCCTTCGTTTTTTCAGTTTTGAGACAGTTTTGCTGCAGAAAGCTAAATTCTTTTACGTATAGAATCCACAATGATAAAATAAAAGACACCAGAAACAAAAACTAGTCAAATATTATATCAAAACGAGGTCCTTGCTGTCATTTCTGTGTCTATAGCGCCGTAAAACATCTACTATGCCATGCCAAAGCCACGCGCTTTAGCTAAACGTAATACACTAATAGGAGATTCAACAGTGGTAACCTAACCTATAAATCGCTCTTTGGGATAACCTAAGCGATGACGACACTTGTAGCGAGTTTGGCGGTATATTAATAATAATAAGTCGTCACATCTCAAATGTGCTCCTGCCGAGTAGTGATGAAACATAGCCCACAGAGTAGGCAGTCTAAAAATAAACGCGATAGACAGTACACTGTTCTATGCCAAAATGATGTGAGCCCGGAGCAATCCAACAGAGTGCTCAAGTGAATTCTGATTGGTACATCGTCTTGCCACTAGGCTATTTTAAGTGACCCTGTGGCCGTGAACCTGAGGGAGGTGAACGTGACATACTCAAGTCACCGTCCTATGAATTGTGTGTTTGAATGGTTTTGTTGTGGAGTGATGAAAGTTATTACTTGAGTGTTCAGTTCTAATGCATGATGTTAAGGGCTAACAAACAGATTTCGTTCTAGAAATCAAATCGACAAGTAAAAGAAATGAAATTAATAGCCCGAGGTCATCCTTCACCAACCCAAAAGATCCTAAAATAATACACCATCCAATTTACTATGCCCTTCACTATCTTCAGCGTGTGATAGCTTAATTAAATGTGCACGCCCACTTTTTAGCCCCACGAGCCGCCCCTGAATCTCCGCTAGTAGTGCAGCAGGAAAACATACCAACACCACTACTAATACTAGGCTTAGTGTGTCGACATGGGGGCTACATCTATGTGTGTGTGTGTGTGTGTGTGAGTGTGTGAGTGTGTATGTGCGTGTGTGTGTGTGTGTGTGTGTGTGTGTGTGTGTGTGTGTGTGTGTGTGTGTCTTCCAAATCTCTCGACCCCACTGGGTCAGTAGGTAGTACATATTTTAACTTCAGAATAGCGTTTCTTGAAGTCAATGACAGTCCAATCTTCTGCTCCAATTGTGTCACGAGGTGGGCACCCTATCGCTGTTTTGAGAAAATCGAAGGTAAAGTTTTTGCCCCTCGGTCAGTTTCTTTAAAAGACAAGGCGAGTTTTTTCTTGAATCAAACGAATGAAATATACACATCAATGAAACAAAACTTCTCCTTCGGGAGGGCAATTCCCACTTGGGGAAGGTAGGTCAAGATTTCGGGAAACCCCCAAAATCTGGGTGAGCCCGCTTGTCCTTAAAAGCGACCAATTGTAGGCTCCGTCTTCTCTCCGATGACATAGGTGAGGCAGCGGGGTGAAAGCAGGCGCTCGTCAGAATAATGGGATTAAAGAAACTGACATTTTCCCGCTGGTTTGTAAATTTTCAATCCAAATTTTGTTTTTTTAGCATAAAACCTTCTATGTCTATTTAATAGCCCATTTCAATGTGAACTATATTGAAAGAAGGTTGATTAAAGGCACACAAATGTAAATTGTCAATTTCTAAAGACTCTGAGGCTTTGTAAATGTCCAAATTTTGGCGGCCTTTTTATCACTAATTTTACCCCTGAAACCAGGTGACCCCCACCTTTTCAATAGCAAATATTTGAACATGTACTCAAGATAAATGGGTAATTCTTTCATCGAATACAAGGTAATTGATCAAGCTCTAAGGCAACACCAATAACTCCACATTTCCAAAATTTGACGAGCGCCTGATTTCATTGCGATGCCTCACCTAGAGTATACTGTTAACCTACAGTACCTGGTCAAGAATTGATGGCAGGTTTCATTGTAGATCAATAAGAGAAAAGTGAGATTTAGAAGAGTAGATAAAAGAGAGTAGAGGGCAAAAGGACCACAAACTACATCCAGGTGTATGCACCGTGCAACGACTCCTACTCAGACAAAGAAAAGGACTCTTTCTTCGAACAACTCTCGGACTTAATTAGCAGCACTCCAGACGAGGAAGACTTTTATGTAATGGGAGACTTCAACGGAAGAGTCGGAGAGAGAAGAGCACCGTGGAAAAAACACCTGGGTCCACACAGTGACCACAGAACACCATGCAATCATAACGGCAATCATATATTGGAACTGTGTGCAGAGCACGACTTATTCACCACCAACACCTTCTTCCAGGACCGGGCCTCTCAGATCTACACCTGATACAGATGGAACAACATCATGGTCTCATCACAGATCGACTTCATATTAACGAGATCACGACTGCGGATCACAATCACAGACTCAAGAGCCATCTCCAATGCAGATCTGGACACAGACCACAGGCCAATCATCACAAAGTTGACCACCAAGAAAGAAAGAAAACCAAAAAACCATAAAAGACAGCAAGAGAGACTAAATAGGCATAAACTTGGAGATGATCAGGTGCAGGCTCAGATCAGAAGCACGCTAAATGAAAAGCTAGGCTCTATCAACTCTACAATACTAACCGTAGAGGAAGCTTGGGATACCTTCAAAGCAACTCTCCTGGACACAATGAAAGAAGTCTGCGGTACCAAGAAAACAAGAGGAAAACACAGAAAAGCAACAGCCAAGTTAGGGATGCTATCAAGGAAAAAAGGAGACTGTATAATGTATTGGTCAAGTAAAAAAACGAAGAGGACTACATTAAATATAGACTTGCAAGAAGACACAGCAAGAAAGTCGTTATAACATCAAAAGAAAAGTCATGGACCCAGTATGGCGAAAAACTAAGTGAAACCTGCAAGACCTCACCAAGAGAGTTCTACAAGAAGGTAAAGACAATGAAAGTGAGAGACGAACCCTATGTACCCACCACTGTCATCAACAATACTAATTGAGAAGCTCTACACGAAGAGAAAGGAATAATAAAAAGATGGGAAGAATATTTTCAAGAACTACTAAACCCATCAGGAGTACAGGCACAAAACACACAGTGCCCCTCCACCGCCAACTACCCTGAGCACTCAGAACCTACCACCCTGGAGAGTGAAGTGAGAGAAGCACTGAAGACTAGTCCAAAGAACAAGGCAGCTGGAGACGATGGCATCACAACCGAAGCCATCCTTGCCTGCGGCGAAACCGGAATACATTGGCTTACAATCGTCTTCCAGAAAGCATGGAAAGAAAGAAAAGTACCAGCAGACTGGCAAAATGCGATAGTGGTGCTAATATGGAAAAAAAGAGCAGCAAGAAAGACTGCAACTGCAACACCTATAGGGGCATATCTCTTCTCAGCCATGCGGGGAAAATGTATGCAAAAATCCTAGAGCGACGCACTCGCGCAAAAGCCGAACGTCTTCTCAGTGACGCCCAGTTTGGTTTTAGAAAAGGAAGAGGGTGCACTGATGCAATCTTCGCACTCCGACAACTGTGTGAGAGGGCTTTGGAACACGACAAAGATCTTCATCTCGTATTTGTGGATCAAGAAAAAGCCTTTGATCGAGTAAATAGAAACAAGCTATGGAAGATCTTAGAGCAGTACGACATCAAGGGACAACTGCTAGACAACATCAGGGCTATCTATGCCAACAGCAGAAGCGCTGTCCGAACTACCAGTGGAACATCAGACTGGTTTCCAGTAACATCCGGAGTCAGAATCTCTCCCCTCTGCTCTTCGTGATCTACATAGACCAGATAACAAAAGAGGCCAATCCAGACCCAGAGGCACTCAACGAACTCATGTTTGCAGACGACCTGGCAATGATTAACAACAAGATCCAGCTACAGGAGCATATGAACCAACTAAATGCGAGCTGCCAAAAATATGGCATGAAGATCAGTATTAGCAAGACAGAAGTCATGACAATTAACAGGAGACCAGGCAAAGTGGATATCAACATCAATGGATCCCAACTAAAACAAAGCAGAGAATTAAAATACTCGGGCAGCAATTTCACAGAAAATGGAAAATTAGATCGAGAAATAGAGACTAGATGCCAGAGAGCCAACGCAGTCAGCTACCAACTCGGCCCTCTCCTGAAACATCCCAATGTCCCCATGAGCACCAAGGCGAAGCTCATCAACGCCATTTTCCTTCCAACCCTCACATACCAGTGCCAGACATGGTCCCTATCAAAAGCCCTAAGAGAGGAAACAGGTCACATGCGAGATGAAATGCTTAAGAAGAGCGGTCAACAAAACAAGAAGAGACCAAATTAAAAATAAAGTCATAAGGGACACCGTGGGAGCAACACCAGTCCTATCACACATTGAAAAACAAAAGGTCAAGTGGTTCGGACACCTCACGCGGATGCCCTAAAACCATCCAGCTCTGAGAGCATAGAACACTAAATATTCTGGATGGAGAGCCAGAGGAAGACCAAGGCGACGATGGAGTGAATCTGTGGCAGACACCCTTAGAGCTCACGGGATGTCCCTCCTACAGGCCACACGACTTGCTGCAGACAGACGCCCGTGTCTCCCCGCGACACCCCAGGGTACAAGCGGAAGAAAAAAGTAAAAGTAAAAGTAAGATTAAATATAAAGGTAGGGATAATTTTGACAGCTGAATTTTCAGAAGCTCGATAAGCAGAGTTAATTTGCTTTATTAAAAAAAATTAACTGTCAAAAATGTTTTAACAACACAATCAAAAGTAAGACATGTGCGCGCTTGGAATTCACCCCCCCCCCCCCCCCTTTCCTCTTGAGACTGTGAACCTTTACTGAGCACACTTTTACGCAATGGACAAGAAAATAATAACTCAGTTCTGGTCATAACGAAAACAGCGATTGAAATTTACAATTCTGCAAATTCTTAGTTAAAAATCATGAAAATCGGGCTCTATCATGCTCTTGGGAATTTTGAAAGCTATCTTTGTGTAGATTTTGAGCTCAGTAAAGTGAGTGGTTTCGTCTAAAAACCAATGCAACGAAATGATAATATACCGGTAGTACAGATAAGTGCCTAAGATTAGAGGTGTTACTGGAGAGGAACATTCGTAAATAGTAAATAAGGAGGAGATTTAAGGATGATAGCCGTTAGAAAGGAAGCATTAAAGAGCAAACCACACCAAAGCATCCACCAGCCACCCACCTAACCAATCGAAATAGACCCGCCGGGTAAAGACATAATTTAAAAAAATGAAGCAATCAGCACCTAGGTCTAGAAGAAATGATTGATTCGCACGCTTCCTCTATTTACTAAATGATCAACCGTTGAGTGGGTTCAAGACAAAGCCCTCAAGGAACAGCACCGTGGGTTTTAAAAAAACCCTAGTTATAGAATTACCGCATCAATTATAAAGCCTTTAATGTGCCAGATAATGTGAATTGATCTAAATTTGATTTTGCCCATAGGAGGCAAATGCTAACCTCGCCAAAGACGAAAATGGTGACACATTATTATAAACGTATTACACGTCTAACCAAAGCTTTGATGTAAGTGAACACTGAGAACTGAGAACCTGTGAGAGCGGAAGTTATCACAGGCCAGCGTTCGTCAAGTTCGAGATTATCGGTTTACGCCAAGGGCAAACAGTCACATCTTAATATCTCGCACTGCAACACAAGCAAAAGTGAAACTAATGGTACACATTATCTTTAATAATAGTACTAATAATTGCATCCATAAAGCGCATATTCGTACTCTGTGCGCTACACAGTCATTATTACCACCGGAGACCAATCCTAGAACACGCAGAAAAATTCTCGGCTTCCCGTGAAGCATAATGATTGCAGTGCAAACACACGATTAAGGGCTCACACACTGACAAAGAGGAGAGAATTAACATTTTATTGCTCGGATAGATTCATAATTGTAGTTAAAAGGCAAATTTTGTCAGTTCGTAAATCCATCGTAGAATTAGACGACTTAAAATTTTCAAATTGTTCAATTTACACATTCAATGATAGAGTATTTAAGGTTTAGTAGATTTATCAACGCTTGCAACAAACTTGGATCATAATGATATAGATTCTAAGTTCCGAAAATTAGAAGTGTCACTGGAGAGCAACATATAAAAACAAGAAAGAGAAGAGATAAAGACGATGGACCTTCGATAATAAGAAAGAAGGAACATACCACATCACAACACCCTCCAACCACCCACGATTCCAGTGTGAGGGCTTCAGTTCTGTCTGTCAGGGTCACCCGGGTTGAGAGGGGCAGATCCGGGCAGAATCAGAAAGGGAAATATCTCACACCATTCACATGCGAGGCACAGACGTAAACCACTACACCATAGACGCCGGTTCGGCCACTCTCATCAAAAAATTGTCAGATCTACGACAGACATCGTCGATCAAGGCTCGCAAGTCGTTTCTTTGTTCTGATGCTCTCAACAAAACTACGTAATCCTGATCTTTCCGCGTCGCCCATCTGTTTAGGCTTTCCAAGTAACTTGCTCTGGGTCTACCTCAGCCTCGCTTGCCTTCAATCTTACAAGTGAAAGTTAGATGTCAAGGCCTTTCTGTCTCTACAGGTGTCCCAGAAACTACATTCGTCTCTTCATAGTTGTTTTTATCAGCGAGCAGCCCACGTGAGCTACTTCAAGTAGTACCTCCTTTGATCCCTTTGTTCATCCAACCAGAGTTAAACGAATACAATAGAGGTTTTTGTGCTAAGACATAATATATGACTGTGGGTGAAACGAACACTGTTGATTTCTTCAAGGACATTTTAACACCCTAAGGACGTACCATAGAGGGCACATACAACCCCAACCAGAAGCTGGCCAATGGTAATGTTTTAGCACATTTCCTATCACCAAACACGAAATTGCACATGTCATAGTAATCACACTGTCACTTGTATTTTTTTTAAAGTTTCAGATAAAGCAAATAAACTCTGTATGTGCTGCTTCTTTTTTAAGTGCCCGAACCAGCCCGTCTTCAATCATTGTTCATTGACCAGATGTCACGTCTTCAATGAGCTAAGCTAAGGTTGTTTGTATCACTTTGAAAACAAAATTTGCGCCGTTTTACGTTCCTTCACATCGAAATCAGTGACTGAAAACATGACAACTGTTGTATCAGAAACGTGTGTGCTAAACTGTACTGTAACTGCACCAGTGACGTCACACCCGGTTGTCTACAGTGTTGAGATGATCAGAAATGTCATCCGCACCACCAACATGTGTATAGCTGTGTTTGGCATCCTCACAAATCTGTGTAACGTGGAGATATTTCGAAGAACAGGTATACTGGAAAGTGCGACATCAATCACTCTCTTTGCGCTCACAGTTACCGATCTGCTTTCCCTTGTACTTTTTATTGTGAATCCACTTCTCGATTTCCGGATAGGAACGTCACCCCCTCTTGTCTACACGCTGTACGTCCAGGTGCTCTACAGTTTCCAGATGACCTACAAAATGTCCACCTTCTTCACGGTCTACCTCACGGTTCAAAAGTGTTGCTGCGTGGCGCTCCCGCTCAAGTTCAAATTTATTTTCACAATCAAAAAAGTCCTGGCCACCCTACTTGTTCTTACACTAGTTTGCTTTGCCTGTTATGCTCCTTTGTTTCTCAGTATAGGATTTCGGTGGGCATTTATCCCACGTTTGAACAAAACGGTAGTTATTCCAAATTATTCGCCCTACCGGCAGACGATAGTGATCATTTTGTACCCCCTGGTCTTGGCTGCAGACCCAACCATCTCTCAGGTCGTGGTCATCAGCTGTCTTTTTGTCCTAACCGGAAAACTCAAACAGGCGACAAAATTCCGAATGTCCTCAGAGTTGCCAGGAAGCAAGGAGCCGTCCAAGGGGGCACAACTCTCGGGAAAAGAGCTGAGGGCGGTGCAATCTGTGGTGGTTGTGGCCGCCATGTTTGTCGTCTGCAATCTACCCAGCGTTCTCATCATGTACGCTTCCTATGTGGAGCCAGAGTTCAACGACTTCAGACAGCTTGGAGAAATCTATAGCCTTGTGGGACTTGTCAGAATCTCTCTGCTTCTTCTCTGCTCCTCTCTCAACATCTTTGTGTACATCACTTACAACTCCAGCTACAGACAGCAGGTGGCGGCTTTGTGGCGGAAACTTGGCACAACACGAAGTCTGGGAAAACGAGAGGAGAAATAGATACACAGACTTGTGCAAGCATGACGGCATCACATTGTGTAAGACATTATGCGCTTTGCTGACCTTTCAGTAAGAGTTTTACGGTATTTGCAACGGAAATAGGTCAAATCAGTGTTAAAGACATTCGGTGTTACGACGACCACTACTACTAGTAGTAATAAAACGAACCATTTTCTTAACGCATTTCCATAATTTAGAATGTTCCACGCGCTTTACAACGGCGCCAGTTGCCCAGTGGTTAGGCTATCGTACACGTAATCGTGAGGTTGCGGGTTCGTGGATTCGAGCCTCAGCTCGGTCCGACGTTGTGTTCTTGGGAAAGGCACTTCACACGAAATTCCCATTTGGCTCGGTCCTTTTGGAGATGGACGTTGAACTAGGAGGTCCAACTTTTAGATAACATACTACTGTTGATTGAGGTTATTCTCACCCGGTCTGAGAATGCAATGGAATTTTATTCTTAGGCCTACCTGGGTGTTGAGAACAGATGATACAAAATAATTTGTGAATTGTAAGAGGTTCGTGAACTGCCCCCAGAGCGCTGGCCGATTTTTCTAGGCTCCCTCGGGTATTGTTAAAGTTTCATTTTTAAAAATCTTGAGTATGCAAGCATATCTTCACCAAAAACCCAAGTGTATATTCTAAATTCAGAAAGGAATTCACTTGCCAGAGTAGTATGTTTTTAAAAATAATAGCCTTAACTGAAAGCTGTTTAATGAAATGATGTTAGTAATAGTTTGTCTTTGTAATGTTAGAATTGGCATTTGTTTACAACCCAAAAAACATGCTTTTTTGGCTTGTTTTTTTTTTATAGTAGAGGGTTTTACGGCGATCGCAACTGCATAAGGTCATATGAGCGCCAAGGGGTGGGTGTCAACAGAGAAGTCTTTACAGGGAATCAGACTTATTCTGCTCACCTGTCTAGCTTCAACAGCACAAAGTCTACTTCGACTACCAAGGCACCCCGGAAATAGCGGGTCACAAGAGAGTGACAAACATACAAAAGAAGTTGGGGAAAATGACAATAGTAAGGATTAAGAAAGAAAAAGCAGCAGTTCCCTATTGTAGATCGGGCAATGAATCAGCCCATTTATAATTCTACTGTGCTTGAACGATAAATGTCCCCCCTTTGGGAATGGCCTAAAGACACTACAATCAGTGGCACTGCCCCCCCCCCCCCCCCCCCCCCCCGGGGGTTAACATTATCCTTAGCAGAATCCACAGTTATTTTTAAAGCACGCAGGGCCTTGACCTTAGGCTTTTTTATTTTTTATTTTTTATTATTTAAAAAAATTAATTTTGATTGGTTAATAAACCATTCAAGAGTAAAATTTTCCTTTAGGTCTACGGAACCAATAAATACTGTAGCAACAAAAGGTGACTGTTAGCTCAAAAGATAATGTTTTCCCCCAAATCGACAATACTCGCCTCCCGCACTCGAGAGCTGGCCCGCCCGTTGGCGATTTTAGTCGCCTCGCGCGATCAGCAGAGTGACAGAGGGAGGCGAATTTTGTCGCCTGGAGTGCTCAGTGACAGGTCTGGTGACAGGGGTCCTATGACACCCGAAACTAAAGAAAACCGGATGAGAATAGTAGGCTGTCGTTATTCCCACCCGGGGTGAGAATAGTATCAATTTCATTCTCACCCCGGCTGAGAATATCCAGTTTATCCTTAACCCGGGTGCGAATAATCACCCCGTTCCGGTAAAATTGCTGCGCGGGTTGCCCGCAACTAACCGCTGGTAACAAGCGTTAACTTTGGGCGGTTTCGAACTAAACAAAAGACTTCTCAAAGCGGGTATCTGCAGGTTAACCTGTAGCAGAAAACCTGCCGCACTAGGGCGCGCTATTATCAAAGAGAAGTTGGACTGTAACAGCCTTCATTTTCAGATAAGATTTTTTTTTTAATCGTCATTTCTAGGAGCATTATCCACAAAATGACGATATTTGTAAAAAGTAAATTAATGTTTTACAGAGCTCATTGATTCCATGAACCCAATATCAACCTGAAATTTGACTGCGTTGTTTTAACTAAAGCAGCGACATCAGCTTCACAGAACCGTAAAGCCCGACACTCACTACGCAGTTAAAAAGTGCGCCTGTCTTGAGATGGTCTCAAGACCAACTGAACACGATCTCAAGATGATCTCAAGACCAAAATCCGGACTGTTTAGTTAAAAATCTCAAACCGTGCGATCGCTTGAATTCAGAACGAGCCTGAAAGTCGAATCTGAGATCAGGTTACTCGACGCTAAAAATAAAGGGGTGTCAAAGTCAAAATTTTGCGAATCTTACTTCAGAATCAAATGCTAGCGGGATTTGATACGAAATAGTGCTATCAAACGTCTGATGTAGCAACGTTAATAAATCATTCTTTGCGTCAGGCAGCTAGTTTTTTTTTCAAAGACCGTATGCGGTTGAATACTGAGGGAAAAAATCATCGTATACGAGGGTACTTTGTTGATTTTTCCTCAGTATTCAAAACAATTCAACCGCATATTGTCATTTTAAAAAACAACAACAATAGAGTAAATTAGAGAAACAATATACAGGTTGCAACAACTTTACTTTGGGTGGGAGCCATTTTGATAAATGTGCTGGCATGGGTAGTGTGGGCACAAATGAGATCGCTTACAGATCCGATTGTCAGTTCATCTTAAGACCATCTTGAGATCGGGAACAGTGTAGTGAGTGGGGGGCTTTACCCATTTCCTATAGATCTAATACATATTTTCTGAACATTTTATATCGATCCAAGCTTTCTTGGCCTCTGCATTTTTAGTCTTGTATTTTGGATTGGTTTTTTGGCTCTCTTCCTCTCAGTCATTAGCTCTGAAGATTTCCTCAGTGATCCATGATTTGGGTTGAAGCAAGAAAGGAAAAAGACGAAGGAAAAAGACGAGCTTTGGACAAGACAAGAAAAGCAATTGTCGTTCCTAATGACTTACAACCCAACCGGTTCAATTTACCACTGTAAATTGGACATTTAAGGCGGACCCTCCATAGACGGCACACGGCACACGGCACACAGCACATGGCAAGCGTGCGAAATAAAATCAAACACAACCATTTCGAGTTGTACACTCCATTGACGCCACGACACAGCCACGACGAAACATTGCGTGCCTTGCTTTGCTGCATTGCTCGTTTTTTGTGTCGTGTGCTGCCAAAATGGATGACTACAAGAAAGAAATTATTGAACTTGTGAGAGACCGATCGCTTCTTTGGGACCCCCAAAACCCGATTGGTTCACAATAAATTACAACCAATTGGTTGTAGACGAGGAAGCACTAGGTTCTTTAGTTCATCATACGTTCTGTATGACATTCTTAGGTAGTTGAAGAACAATGTCTCATCTCTACGTCTCATCAAGGAGCTGAAAGGTCGATGAAACTCTCCTCTACTCCTCAATAGAAAATGTTCTCTGCACCACATGATCCACCTTTTCCTCTTTTTTCGATTATTTAGAATTGCTAACATGATCAAGAGTATCTTCATCAGACGAATCCATGGTTGTGATGTGTTGTGATGTCGTGCTATGGCCCATGGAGGGAGGGGTATTAGCCACGGCACGTGCCGACAAGTCATGTGCCGTGTATGGAGGGCCCGCCTTAGACACTTGATGTATCATCGTAACGGGAATCCACAAAACAAAAACCAAACAAAACACCAAAACAAACGGGAATGTAGATATTTACTCACAAACGCTTTCAAATTCCATCCGATTTATTCAGTATTCTGTAACAAGATAAAACAATTTGCAGACAAACAATTTCTTTTTGTACCGGGTCTTGTACAAATTCCTTAGTCACACAAACATGTCAACCGAGATGCTGGGCGAAATAGGCAAAGAGAAATAAGGGTACATTGAAAATGTAAAATCCAGTAGTGATCAACAAAAGACAAGAGGTGCGTGGCAAAAAGTGGGGCACCATTGGACAAACTCAGCATCCCCCCCCCCCACACACACACACTTATAACGCTCACTCTGTTCAAAACTTTGAGATTTAGTTTCATTAAGCCGGTAGGCGTTCTCTTTTCAATCGTCCCCAATGACCTGCTCCATCTAGTGAGTGTACTTGTTGACCCGAGTGTAGACAGCCGAGACAACCTCCCCGCCACAGCCGAAGCCCGTGGAGACAATTCCTGCCACAACAGTAGACACCTGGTCTTCCAGCTCGCTCACAGAGCAGGGGGCTCCAGAATGTTCCTGTACCATACATTGAGGAGATGTCAAAGAAGGGTTCAATGGAACATGGAGAAGCCATTTTTGTACATTTAGGTGTGTCTTTACTCTTCAAATGTAGTCAAAGTTGTACAAGACGAACGTCCAGTACCGACAATTGGTCTTGGACATGACATATAGTTCTCTTGGACTTTCGTATTTAAAATCTAAAGAGGGGAGAGGGGAGGGGAATGGAAAGTGGAAGATCTTTTGGGCGATGCATTTTTAATTGGCAGTCGATAGAGCTTTAAAAGGAAATGAATCTGCCGATGTTCAATCTAAAATGTGTATATTATAGCGATTAATCTTACAGGAATTTGAAATTCCCAGATAAATGAAAAGGGGATTGACGATTGTGGGTCAATTTACGGTATTTACCCAACTAAACAGGTGGAAAATCAAATCTATGCTTTCATAAGCAAGATGCATCATGGATGATTTTATGTAATCGAATTCACAGGCATGAAGGGGTAGGTTAGTTATCCATCTCTAACTTTTCCTATTCAAGATATCCAAGATCCCAATTGTACCAAATTGTATTCTTCGGTTGATAAATTTAAAAAATCCTTTGTACTGTCATGAAAGCTGTATTTTCAATATTCCTGCCGTTACCGTGGTGGCCGTAGACTTTTAAAAAAATTAACGTTACATTTTAGAGATGTTTTCATGTTTTCCCTCCATGCTACAACAAGGCTTTATCTGAAAGGTCCTAGTTACCGAGATTTATAAACCAGCCCCTCCCTAAATTGTAAGGACCGACCTTTCTCAGTTTAAGT